CGATCGTCGTAAGGAATAGACCAAGGCGCAGCGTGATGAACGAACATGGTTAAACTTTATTATCTTTAGTGATAATAGACCACAATAACCAAAACAAGAAACGACTCGTGAAGTCCACGGTAACAATGACCAACACGGAACAAAAACCCACAAACACAAAGGGAAAACAGACAGTTTAAATATGGCTCCCAATCAGAGACAACCAACGACAGCTGACACTCGTTGCCTCTGATTGGGAGTCACTCTAGCCAACATAGAAATAAACACAACAGAAATGAACACACCCTGGCTCAACATATAGAGTCCCAGAGCCAGGGTGTGACAGTACCCCCCCCTAAAGGCGCGGACTGCGACCGCGCCTCAACTTGAACAAAACAGGGGAGGGCTGGGTGGGCATACCTCCTCGGCGGCGGTTCTGGCTCCGGCCTTGCCACCCACCCTCCAATAAACCCCCCATAGCGCCCCTGGTCCAGTCTGGCCCCGCTGGCTGGAGCTGAACTGGACTTAGCAGGAGCGGTTAGCTTCAACTCCATAGTGGAGCAGTTGACCGGTACCTTACCAGGCACCGGTGACCCAGGCACGGGTTGTGCTGGACTGACGACGCGCACCCCTGGCTTGGTGCGTGGAGGAGGAACGGGCCTTACCAAGCTGACGACGCGCACCCCTGGCCTGGTGCGTGGAGGAGGAACGGGCCTTACCAGGCTGACGACTCGCACCCCTGGCTTGGTGCGTGGAGGAGGAACGGGCCTTACCAGGCTGACGACTCGCACCCCTGGCTTGGTGCGTGGAGGAGGGACGGGCCTTACCAGGCTGACGACTCGCACCCCTGGCTTGGTGCGTGGAGGAGGAACGGGCCTCACCAGGCTGACGTCTCGCACCCCTGGCTTAGTGCGAGTGGCAGGAACAGGCCGGGCCGGGCTGGCGACGCGCACCGTAGACTTGGTGCGAGTGGCAGGAACAGGCCGGGCTGGCGACGCGCACCGTATACTTGGTGCGAGTGGCAGGAACAGGCCGGGCCGGGCTGGCGACGCGCACCGTAGACTTGGTGCGAGTGGCAGGAACAGGCCGGGCCGGGCTGGCGACGCGCACCGTATACTTGGTGCGAGTGGCAGGAACAGGCCGGGCCGGGCTGGCGACGCGCACCGTAGACTTGGTGCGAGTGGCAGAAACAGGCCGGGCCGGGCTGGCGACGCGCACCGTAGACTTGGTGCGAGTGGCAGGAACAGGCCGGGCCGGGCTGGCGACGCGCACCGTAGACTTGGTGCGTGGAGCAGGGACAGGCCGGACCGGGCTGGCGACGCGCACCGTAGACTTGGTGCGTGGAGCAGGGACAGGCCGGACTGGGCTGGTGACGCACACCGTAGGCTTGGTGCGTGGAGCAGGGACAGGCCGGACTGGGCTGGCGACGCGCACCGTAGACTTGGTGCGTGGAGCAGGGACAGGCCGGACTGGGCTGGCGACGCACCCCGTAGGCTTGGTGCGTGGAGCAGGGACAGGCCGAACCGGGCTGTGGAGACGGATAGGAGACCTGGAGTGAAGAGCGGCCACAACCCGTCCTGGCTGAATGCCTACCCTCACACACTCTGTGTGAGGCATCCGCACAGGACGTACAGGGCGGTGTACCCGTAACCTGGTGGCCTTCTGAATCCGCCCCTTTTCTGCCTCCGTCAGCCCCGTCGTCCATGCCGTGTGCCCCCCCCCTAAAAATGTTCTGGGGTTGCCTCTCGCCTGTCCGACGTTGACACTGCTGACGCCGCTGCTCCTCTTTCGCCAGGGCCTCTCCCGGCGCTTCCTCCCATGTCCAGTCCAAGTTCTGCCCCGGGACACGCTGCTTGGTCCTTATTTGGTGGGTTTTTCTGTCACGATCGTCGTAAGGAATAGACCAAGGCGCAGCGTGATGAACGAACATGGTTAAACTTTATTATCTTTAGTGATAATAGACCACAATAACCAAAACAAGAAACGACTCGTGAAGTCCACGGTAACAATGACCAACACGGAACAAAAACCCACAAACACAAAGGGAAAACAGACAGTTTAAATATGGCTCCCAATCAGAGACAACCAACGACAGCTGACACTCGTTGCCTCTGATTGGGAGTCACTCTAGCCAACATAGAAATAAACACAACAGAAATGAACACACCCTGGCTCAACATATAGAGTCCCAGAGCCAGGGTGTGACAGATAGTTAGTTGGTGATGTGGAAACCAAGGAACTTGGAGCTCTCAACCTGTTCCACTACAGCCCCGTCGATGAGAATGGGGGCGTGCTCAGTCCTCTTTTTTTTTCTGTAGTCCACAATCATCTCCTTTGTCTTGATCACGTTGAGGGAGAGGTTGTTATCCTGGCACCACACGGCCAGGTCTCTGACCTCCTCCCCATAGGCTGTCTTATCGTTGTCGGTGATCAGGCCTACCACTGTTGTGTCATCGGCAAACTTAATGATCGTGTTGGAGTCGTGCCTGGCCATGCAGTCATGGGTGAACAGAGAGTACAGGAGGGGACTGAGCACGCACCCCTGAGGGGCCCCCATGTTGAGGATCAGCGTGGCAGATGTGTTCTTACCTACCCTTACCACCTGGGGGCTGCCCATCAGGAAGTTCAGGATCCAGTTGCAGAGGGAGGTGTTTAGTCCCAGGGTCCTTAGCTTAGTGATGAGCTTTGAGGGCACTATGGTGTTGAACGCTGAGCTGTTGTCAATGAATAGCCTTCTCACCTAGGTGTTCCTCTTGTCCAGGTGGGAAAGGGCAGAGTGGAGTGCAATAGAGATTGCATCTTCTGTGGATCTGTTGGGGCGGTATGCAAATTGAGTGGTTCTAGGGTTTCTGGGATAATGGTGTTGATGTGAGCCATGACCAGCCTTTCAAAGTACTTAATGGCTACAGACGTGAGTGCTACGGGTCGGTAGTCATTTAGGCAGGTTATCTTAGGGTTCTTGGGCACAGGGACTATGGTGGTCTGCTTGAAACATGTTGGTATTACAGAATCAGTCAGAGACATGTTGAAAATGTCAGTGAAGACACTTGCCAGTTGGTCAGTGCATGCTCGGAGTACAAGTCCTGGTAATCTGTCTGGCCCTGCGGCCTTGTGAATGTTGACCTGCTTAAAAGTCTTACTCACATCGGCTATGGAGAGCGTGATCACATAGTCATCCGGAACAGCTGATGCTCTTATGCATGCTTCAGTGTTGCTTGCCTCGAAGCGACCATAGAAGTGATTTAGCTCGTCTGGTAGGCTCGTGTCACCTTGCAGCTCGCGGCTGTGCTTCCCTTTGTAGTCTGTAATAGTTTGCAAGCCCTGCCACATCTGATGAGCATCGGAGCCGGTGTAGTACGATTCAATCTTAGTCCTGTATTGACTCTTTGCCTGTTTGATGGTTCGTCGGAGGGCATAGCGGGATTTCTTATAAGCGTCCGGGTTAGAGTCCCACTCCTTGAAAGCGGCAGGTCTACCCTTTAGGTCAGTGCGGATGTTGCCTGTAATCCATGGCTTCTGGTTGGGGTATGTACGTACGGTCACTGTGGGGACGTCATCTATGCACTTATTGATGAAGCCAGTGACTGATGTGGTGTACTCCTCAATGCCATTGGAAAAATCCCAGAACATATTCCAGTCTGTGCTAGCAAAACAGTCCTGTAGCTTAGCATCTGCGTCATCTGACCACTTCCTTATTAACCGAGTCACTGGTGCTTCCTGCTTTAGTTTTTGCTTATAAGCAGGAATCTGGAGGATAGAATTATGGTCAGATTGACCAAATGGAGGGTAGAAATAGATCGAAAATCACAGAAAATAGAGGTTGTGGAACACTTTGGATTGCTAGGTTTTACTGCAGAACAGTTGCAGGGTGTGTTGAGTGGTAGTGTTCTGTCCTCCCAGACCTTTGGTCTGGAGTAGGATTAGATAAGATAAATAGTGGAATGGGGTGGTGTTATATATATATATAAAAAAAGGGCTAATAGGGCTAATAGTTGGCAGGGTAATTTTTCCTTTTCCCCAATTTTATAGTACCATATCATTAAGAATTTAATGTATGTAGGTAGGCCGTGAATGGCCTCACACTCCAGTAGAGTAGGTGATGGTGTATGCACCTTAAATTGGATGCGATCCACCAACACAATCCCAAAGAAGAAGAAGTGCAGAGCAGTTGTGAAGGAAGTTGTCAAGTAAGTGAGTTTACGGTGATGTGGTGGAATCAATTTATGCTTGATCCGAAAACGTGGTTGGAGGCGGCATATGGATGGTTCCGGAGGCATGCAGAAGCCAAATTGAGCTCAGTACCGCAATGCCGTGAGCCTCTCAAATTTTGTAAAAATGCGGAGGGCTCCGTATTGACATGATTGGTTGACGGTAGGATAGGGCGGGAGGTCCTGTATAAACACAAACTCACTTCCTTCCCAACAGCTCTGTCCTGCTCCGCAAAGCGCAAGAAGTATGAATGCCCTGACTTCTGCAGAGGCAGTATCACCATAAAACGTACAAAAAAAGATTGCAGTTTTAAAACTGCAGTAAAAGGGCAGTAACTTCAGCCGACTGTGGTATTTTGGACGCAGTAATTGCAGAATAACTGCAGTTACACTGCAAAATTACTGCAGTAAAAAAATTTTTGGATGCAGTATTTGACTAAAATATTGTTTCTTAAGGGATATGCTGCAAGGAAAATACAGTTGCAGATTGACCATACAGCGCCTTGTATGGAGCTCAATTTGGCCTCTGCATGCCTCCGGAGGCATTTTTCGGATCAAGCATAAATTGCCTCTTACTTCACATTGGCATGTCAATTTGGCAATGAATCAGGATCGTGTTTTTATTTTGTAAATGCTGCATCCTATTGGTTGTAATTTGGAAACCCATTGAAAACGTTATTCCTCCCACCACAAACTACATTACCCAGATTTTCCCAACTGCGTTTTCCGGTATCCCCATCGTTCTTTGCGAGATTTGTCAGGTTTTCGTGTCGGTTGTTTTTATAGAGACCCATTGCTCAGTAGAATTTCAACATGGCATCCGACGGACCGCCGGGGACTGAACCTATGCCTTCCGACTTGGGGAGCTCTGTAGCGGCCCTGAATACATGGAGCAACCCTGAGCTTCAAGCCAAGCTAGGCGAGCTAGGCGCTCCCAACATGGGTATGAATCAAACTATGATTAGAAGCCGAGGAGCAGCAAGTTTTGAATGGAATGAATTGTGTGTAGCAGTAGCTAGCTGCTAACAGGCTAGCCATACCTATTTACTTCCGCGGCAAAGTTAGCTAGCTAGTAGGCCCTCATGGAAGTAAAGGAGAGTGAAAACTAACGTTATCCTAACTCTCTCGCTATCTACCAACTAGCTAGCTACCTACACAAACAATGCATATTAGCTACAAGTTCATGTTCAACACCTCTACGAAGAGGATTTTGCTTACTTAACGTTAGCGAGTCATCATCATGATTTTTTATTTTATTTAACCTTTATTTAACTAGGCAAGTCAGTTAAGAACAAATTCTTATTTGCAATGACGGCCTATACCGGCCAAACCCGGACGACGCTGGGCCAATTGTGCGCCGCCCTATGGGACTCCCAATCACTGCCGGTTGTGATACAGCGTGGAATGGAACCAGGGGGTCTGTAGTGACGCCTCAAGCACTGAGATGCAGTGCCTTAGACCACTGCGCTAACAGCTAATCTTAATTTGCTGTTTTGGTTTGGTGTTTGAGTGATAAAAGGCGCTGCATGGTCAATCTGTTTGCATTGGCCATGCAGCATTTAAAGCCAGTTTATGCTTCATCTGATAATATGGTCGGAGGCCCCATATGGATGGTGTGACGCAATTGCGGAGCCTCCAGAGCATGCAGAGGCCAAAATGAGCTCAGTATTGGATCGCCATGCCCCTCTCAATTTTTTTAACAATGTGGAGGGCTCCATATAGGTCCGGCATTGACATGATTGGTTGACTGTAGGTGAGGGCGGGAGGTCCTGTATAAACACAAACTCACTTTGTTGACAACTTCCTTCACAACAGCTCTGCCCTGCTCAGCGAAGTGAAAGAAGTATGAATTCGCTGACTTCTGCAGAGGCCGTATCACTGTAAATGCTGCACGGCCAATACAGATGACCGATTGACCATGCAACGCCTTTTACGGTGATATTGGCTATGCAGAAGTAACAATGTGCTTATCCAATTGGCACAGAGCAGTTGTGAAGGAAGTTGTCAAAGAATGTTTATACAGGACCTCCTGCCCTCACCTACCGTCAACCAATCATGTTAATGCAGAGCTATACTGAGCCCTCTGCATTGTTACAAAATTGGACTTCTGCATCCAGAGGCTCCCTCACACCATCCATTCGGCACCCCCGACCATAGCCGCGGTAAGTAGGGGTGCTGAGGGTGCTGCAGCACACCCTGAAAAATCAGAATAACAAAAAAATCACACATGTAAAAAACATATTTTTCCACAAAAGTAGAGTACTAATAGTAGTGTATTAGCGGACCGATATAGCCATCTGAAGCACGGGCTAAAACGTTCCCCCTCCCTCCTCCAAGAAAAAAATCACAGCACCCCCAAACTACTTCCTGTTGCTATGCTTCCGACCACATTTTCGGATCAAGGATAAATTGGCTCTAAGCAAGTCACGCATGCTCCGATGCTTTCCACTAAGTGGCTAATTAACTACTTAGCAATATGAATTAACCTCTTATACCATCCATTTGTAATGAAATCATTGTTTGTTATTGTCCCAGCTCTATTGTTCATTGTTGGTTTACAGTTGTCTTTTCCTCCTTCCTTAGGTCCCAGAGAGGAGATGCTGGACAGGCTCAAGGGATACATGATGCAGGTCAGTGTGTGCTGGGGAGAGTGGAAGAGGATATTGCATCTTATGTGTTTATCTGATCCATTTATCTTTGTGTGTATCTATGCTTTTCCACTCAGACTGGAATGATGCTCAGCAAGCCCAACCAAGGAGGTGATGACAAACCTATGACCACGCAGGTCAGCACCAACAGACCCTATAAGGTGTTTAGACGGTCCAATCTAATTAATCTCATTTTTACATTTCATCACTCTGATTATTTAGCTCTACACTCTGCAGCGTTTCATCAATCTATCTTAAACAGGACCAGGAGTTTTACCTTTACCATGTGATCTGACCAGTAAAAACTCAGGGGAGTTGTCCTGGTTAGGCCACATGGTGCAGGAAGAACTACTTACCCAAATCAAAAACAACTTTACCAACAACCACCCTTCCCTCTTCCTCTACCTTTCTCCCCCAGATGCCAGGCATCCCCCCCATGCCCCCAATGCCCATGCCGCCCATGCCACCTGGTATGGGTATGCTCCAGGCGATGAGCATGATGGCGGGTGGACCCCCTCCACCAGGGATGCATATGGGCATGGAGCCTCCAGGCATGCCCCCCGGCCTCTCCCAGGAGGACCAGCTGAAGATGGTGCAGCAGAGGGCTGCCATGATGATGCAGCACGAGGAGAGGGCCAAACAGCAGGTAAGACCAGACCACCGGAGAGGGTTTTATCTAGGCCCCTGAGTTTTACCTGACTAGGAAATACTCTAGGCCCTAGTTGTAAGGTAGTCTTTCTTCTCTTGCGATGGGAAGGAAGCAGTGGCTGTAAGAGGGGTTCTGGTGTTGATGTTCAGTTGGTGATGCATAGTTTCAAAAGTTGACATTTTGTGTGTGTTCAGGGGGATTCCCGTGCTATGGAAGAGCGCATGAAGGAGCAGGAGCTTCTGGAGCAGCAGAAGAGGGTGAGGACAGGAGGAGATGGCTGTTCATGTCTTTCTCCCCTCTAAATGATTCTGTAGTAATTTATCAGTAGTGTTGTGTCACAACAAACCACATAGTTATGGTACAGCCTCTTTACTTGCTTGGAATATCTCACATCTTCTCATTCTCGCTCTTCCCTACCTCTCTTCCTTCCCTCCCTCCTCTCTCTCTTCCCTTCATCTGTCTCTTCCCTCCTCCCTTCTCTCTTCCTTCCTTCCCTCCCTCCTCTCTCTTCCCTACCTCTCTTCCCTTCATCTGTCTCTTTCCTCCTCCCTTCTCTCTCTTCCTTCCTTCCTTCCCTCCCTCCTCTCTCTTCCCTTCATCTATCTCTTCCCTCCTCCCTTCTCTCTCTTCCTTCCTTCCCTCCCTCCTCTCTTCCTTCCCTACTTCTCATCTCTCCTCCCTCCGTCAGGCGGCGGTGATGTTGGAGCATGAGAGGCAGCAAGAGCTCTCTAAGATGCAGCATGGAGGACCAGGGCCCAGGATGTCTGACCCAGGGTCACGACCCCCTGGCATGATGCCGTCCATGATGAGAGGTCAGTAGTGCACACCGTTAGAGAACGACTAATAGTATCGACGTAGGCGATTTTCTCCTTTATAGCGCGTTAACACACTTGCCTCTCGTGTGAAACTCCTGCAAGCCGGCGCCACTGCTAGCTAGTTAGCCTGTCATTGAGGAACCTCTGGGCTGCTTGCTAGCAAGCCACTAGTCCACTCATGCTGCAAAAAATGTTAGCACACTTTAATAATGCCACACACAATGTAGACATTTTAGAAGTGATAATTAATTAACTGTTAGGCAAAATAGTGTACATACAGGCTGCAGCACTTACAAAGCAACTAGGGGTTCCGTTACCTGGTAAATGCCGGCTTTTGACCGTTTAAAAAAAATGAAAAGCCGCTAAATATAATTGTTGCCGGACACATTTTCTGGTAGAAGAAAAAAAATCCATTGAGAAATACTGCTTTTTATTCATTGATGGTGTGCTCCAACTTCAAAGTCAAATATACTTCATAGGCTAATAAATCCTCAAGCTGCTTGGAAATTAGTGTTTTTATTTTTACCCACGCAAAAGATGGCAGGTCCTCATAAGGGACTTCAGATAAGTGTACCCCGACTGGGCAAAATTGGCGACGATTGTGTTGATTATACCCGTTTCCAGTGTGCCCACCGAGAGGGGATTCTTTCTCAAAGAGTGAAGACGGCCTCAAGCACTCGCTTTTTCGAGGACAAAGTAACGAGGCTGATGCGCATCGCAAGCTGTTCCAAGGAGTTGGACAGTTTTGACTTCCCAACAGCAGTGCCTCACATTGAGCAGGCCAAGGTCCACCGCAAACGGCAATAAATTAGAGGCAAATGATTGTGTTCGTCAGGCTCGGTCCTAGTAGTTCTGCTGCCGCCCTAGGCAAGATCAACATATCCCGCCCTTGTGTCATGTATAGTATACAGATTTGGAATGGATTGAGAGAGTAGAGTAATGATGTGTAGGCTATCATGCACAATAGGTGCATTTCATTTGATCTTATTCAGTAGAACTTGGAAACGAAACATCGTTGCCAACTATTCACATCGGAGAGTTGCAATCATTAGTCAGCCAACAGCCTATAGTAGGAAACAGAGTTGTTGATCAATAAGCCACGTATATCACACATGACGAGTCACGACCCCACGATAGTTCAAATGATAACAAACATACCATTTATTAACATCATCCAGTAGAACTGTAAAAAGAGTGAGATTTTAATTTGAGCATTTGGAAAGAAGTGCTTTCGTAAATGCATGGCGCGGGCCTCGTTTTACAGGAGCATTGTAAAATAAGCTTTCTCTCCATGAACCAGCCTTAACGAATGTTGTTTATTTACATATGGAATTTGATTGTCCAACATCAGTTTGATAATTCCTTCATTTTATGGCCTCCTAGAGTGGCCTCTTTCCACTGCTGTGGTGCTGATTCACATCGGGAGTGGGCAGGCTAGCCATGTTGTTCATAGACTGCCATGTTTTGTTATTTATTAGGCCTAATTAAAATGTTCAGGCCTAGATTATATTTTAAAACAGCTGCGTTTTGTTATTTATTAATACAAATATTCATACAAATAGTCTATAGGACAGGTCGTTCGCAGGTTATATTATACAAATTATTATATTTTGAAGTTTTATTGCTGTGTAGACGGCTTGTTCTTCTAGGCGTAATGTTGATTTTTTTATGATACTCATTTATGATTTATAGTAGGGATGAAGAAGCAACGGGCAATGTTTTGGTTTTCAATAAAACCTGTCATGTTGGTATAAGAACATCGTTCTACTTTATTTTATTACGACTTTACAGGCTAATTTCTATTTTGTTAAGATTAATTACAATAATCTAAATGTGATTTTGAGCACCGTGGGTGGACGGCCTAATGCATTATGCACCCAATGCATATGGTGGTTATTATAATTATAATCTTTCCGGTCACGTTGTCCGGCGCCAAATTTTCCTAACGAAAACCCTGAAAGCAACATACCAGTAGCTAGCTAGGTAAACAACAACATTCAGCATAGAGAACTTTTGCTAGCTATGAAGCTAACGTCAATTCACTACCCTAGAACTTTATTTGTGATAGCATATTTTGCGTTATGGTTTGTATATTAGCTAACTTCAAAGCTGATTGTCACCGAAAATGTGTGCTGAGCGATTAACCAAAATGTAAGTTATTTTTCAGTTTTCAAACAACAAATTGACCATCGTCGGTTCAATTATTTTAATTCCATTTCGTTCAGGTTTTTTCTGTGAGCTCAATGCGCGCATTGCACAGTTTCTCTAGAGATAAATCAGATCCAGCCTGAACTGTGTGATGTAGTAGGGAGTTGTAGTTTCCAATAGGCCAATATTCTACATTGTGTAGCGCATAAAACGCGGTAATTAACTACAATTACCATAATCCATTGCACATCTATACTGAACAAAAATATAAACGCATCATGCAACAATTTCAGTGATTTTACAGTTCATATGAGAAAATCAGTCTGTTTAAATAAATTATTTAGGCCCTAATCTATGGATTTCACATGACAGATATGCATCACAATGGGCCTCAGGATCTCTTCACGGTATTTTTGTGCATTCAAATTGCCATCAATAAAATGCAATTGTGTTCGGTGTCCATAGCTTATGCCTGCCCATACCATAACCCCACCGACATCATGGGGCACTCTGTTCACAACGTTGACATCAGCAAACCGCTCGCCCACAGGACGCCATACAAGTGGTCTGCGGTTGTGAGGCCAGTTGGACGTACTGCCAAATTCTCTAAAACAATGTTGGAGGCGGCTTATGGTAGAAATATGCACATTAAATTCTCTGGTAACAGCTCTGGTGACCATTCCTGCAGTCAGCATGCCAATTTCACGCTCCCTCAAAACTCGAGACATCCGTGGCATTGTTTAGTGACAAAATTGCACATTTTAGAGTGGCCTTTTATTTTCCCCAGCACAAGGTGCACCTGTGTAATGATCATGCTGTTTAGTCAGCTTCTTGATATACCACACCTGTTAGGTGGATGAATTATCTTGGCAAAGAAGAAATGCTCACTAACTGGGATGTAAACACATTTGTGCACAAAATGTGAGCGAAATAAGGTTTTTGTGCATTTGGAAAATTTCTGGGATCTTTTCTTTTAGCTCATGAAACATGGGACCAACACTTTTTTAAATGTTGCGTTTATGTTTTTGTTCAGTGTACTTGACCGGTCTGTTTTATTTTTTTACGCCTGCTACCTGCTACGGAAGAAACAAGAATGCACGATCGTGAAGGGATATATATAGAGCAGCTGTTGCTTTGCGAGTTATCTCTACCTGAAAGTACATGATCTAAGTGATTGATAGTTGGTATTCAGCAGTCATAAAAGTATGCCTTATTTACTTTGAAGAACTGCAAAATAGTGATTTTTGTTAGACAGCGTAGGCAACAGCTGATGATGACTTGGAATAAAATAATAGTCATCAATAAAACAAATGTAATATACACAACTGAAATATTTAATTAAAGTAAATTGAATAAATTATGGTTGATGAGTAGTAATGGGCAGTCACTACCATCATGGGACTTTTATTAATTGTTTTATTCTGTGGTGTTACAGCATTCAACCCAAATAATCGAAACAGAGATCATTTTTAGTAATCAAACCTAAACTGAACAAACCTCAAAAAGCATGAATTGCTCAACACTACCACAAATGTTAATTCACTGAGTTAGCTAATTGACTTGTCTTTCCCTTGCTGAGCCGAACTGCCTGGCTACATGCAGAGTATGTGAGCTCGGAAATCCTGTTCATCGCTCACAGAGCGGTGCTTACGCACCATTCTGTCGCTTGGCATCCTTTCCAACCACTCCGCTAAAAACCGCTCCTCGCTCACAGGGGAAAAAAACTGCAGCTCCAAATTCGCTCCATTCATTAAAATCACCATTTAACCAACACCCATCTATTTTTGTGACTACCTAGACCTACTATTTGGTTTTGAAGTATTAAAACCAAACCATACGATTTGAATGAAAAGTATTTTAATAAACAACATGAAAAGGTGACCTTTTTAAGATGCACTCATTTCAAATAGGCTGCATGTCGTATTAAACAGCATATACACTGTAAACACTAAATGGTTCAGGAGCCAGACAGGTAGCCTAAGAAGGAACGAAAAGGAATTATTTAGACTATATCATTAGCCTATAGTCGTGGTAAAAAGTTTTGAGAATGACACAAATACACATTTTCACAAAGTCTGCTGCCTCAGTTTTGATGATGGCAATTCGCATATACTCCAGAATGTCATGAAGAGTGATCAGATGAATTGCAATTAATTGCAAAGTCCCTCTTTGCCATGAAAATGAACTTAATCCCCCAAAAACATTTCCACTGCATTTTAGCCCTGCCACAAAAGGACCAGCTGCCATCATGTCAGCGATTTTCTCGTTAACACAGGTGAGAGTGTTGACGAGGACAAGGCTGGAGATCACTGTCATGCTGATTGAGTTAGAACAGACTGGAAGCTTTAAAAGGAGGGTGGTGCTTGAAATCATTGTTCTTCCTCTGTTAACCATGGTTACCTGCAAGGAAACACGTGCCGTCATCATTGCTTTGCACAAAAAGGACTTCACAGGCAAGGATATTGCTGCTAGTAAGATTGAACCTAAATCAACCATTTATCGGATCATCAAGAACTTCAAGGAGAGAGGTTCAATTCTTGTGAAGAAGGCGTCAGGGCGCCCAAGAAAGTCCAGCAAGCGCCAGGACCGTCTCCTAAAGTTGATTCAGCTGCGGGATCGGGGCACCACCAGTGCAGAGCTTGCTCAGGAATGGCAGCAGGCAGGTGTGAGTGCATCTGCACGCATAGTGAGGCGAAGACCTTTGGAGGATGGCCTGGTGTCAAGAAGGGCAGCGAGGAAGCCACTTCTCTACAGGAAAAACATCAGGGACAGACTGATATTCTGCAAAAGGTACAGGGATTGGACTGCTGAGGACTGGGGTAAAGTCATTTTCTCTGAATCCCCTTTCCGATTGTTTGGAGCATCTGGAAAACACCTTGTCCGGAGAAGACAAGGTGAGCGCTACCATCAGTCCTGTGTCATGCCAACAGTAAAGCATCCTGAGACCATTCATGTGTGGGGTTGCTTCTCAGCCAAGGTAGTGGGCTCACTCACAATTTTGCCTAAGAACACAGCCATGAATAAAGAATGGTACCAACACATCCTCTGAGAGCAACTTCTCCCAACCATCCAAGAACAGTTTGGTGACGACCAATGCCTTTTCCAGCATGATGGAGCACCTTGCCATAAGGCAAAAGTGATAACTAAGTGTCTCGGGGAACAAAACATAGAAATGTTGGGTCCATGGCCAGGAAACTCCCCAGACCTTAATCCCATTGAGAACTTGTGGTCGATCCTCAAGAGGCAGGTGGACAAACAAAAACCCACAAATTCTGACAAACTCCAAGCATTGATTATGCAAAAATGGGCTGCCATCAGTCAGGATGTGGCCCAGAAGTTAATTAACAGCATGCCAGGGCGGATTGCAGAGTTCTTGAAAAAGAAGGGTCAACACTGCAAATATTCACTCTTTGCATAAACTTAATGTAATTGTCAATAAAAGCCTTTGACACTTATGGAATGCTTGTAAATTATACTTCAGTATACCATAGTAACATCTGACAAAAATATCTCATAACACTGAAGCAGCGAACTTTGTGAAGACCAATACTTGTCATTCTCAACTTTTGACCACGACTGTATTTCAAGGCTATAGCCTACAAAAAAATAAATTGTGAAGCATTTGCAAGTGTGACACACTAGGCTGGCAGGAACATTAAGCGCTCATTTAAACATTTCGTTGTATTAAATCATCATAGTCTATAAATTGCGCATATAGGCTGTGACTTAGAACTAATTAAAAAATGAAACAAAAGGCTCCTCATCTTTGTAAGTAACCTTGATTTTGCACCTGTGTTTTTTTTTTCAGTTTCTTTATGAAAATATTTAGCGAACTCCATGACAGTGCTTTTTAATTCACTTTTACAAGCACGAGTTTGGCCCGAGTCTGTGGCTTCAGGCTCATGTGATGGTGCCTGGAGAGCAGGCCAGCAGCGGAGAATATCCTCTCCGTGATTGCAGAGCCACTGGGGATGCTAAACACCCTTCGGGCCACTCTTGCCGGGCAGGCATGAGTTTTTATTTTTTTATGTGTAGGCCTAAATGTTTTTAGGCAAAATAACCTTATCAAAATGGAAAGCTTCTTGAAAGAGGTCATATGTCAGGCCTTTTGGGCCTAAATCAATGATAGCCTATTGTATAGATAATAGAATGTAAATGAACAAAACTTTTAAGAGATCAGATTTTTTGTTTATGAATACTTAGCTACAATGACACACTTAGCTAGCTACCCACCTAGTTCCTTTCTGTTAGCATGTGCACATAATATACCATCATGCTTTCGGGATACGTGTCTTTTAATATTCCACAATGATTCTTTAGTTGTGGACACTACGTCACTGCACTCCCTCTCTTGCTCTAGGTCCTCATCTTTGTAAGTCACCTTGATTTTGCACCTGTGTTTTTCAGTTTCTTTATGAAAATATTTAGCAAACTCCATGACAGTCATTGGGCTGGACAAGACTGATTGATTTGATACAATGTTGCACTTCACTAGCGATAGGTCAAGATAGATAGAAAGGGAGGCAGACAGGCGGAGTAGAGAGATGAATGCAATGGAAATAACCTGCATTTTAATCAGGATATTTTCTGTTTTTATTGGTCGGCTTTATGTATTTTTACTTAGTTGACAAAGGAAGTTATAGGCCTCCTGCTACATTGGCCTAGGCTATCTCTGAGTTCCATGCGCTCATTTCTTTAGTCGCCAATGGCTCGCGGTGAATCAATGTGTCCGTAAGGCAAAGGCTGGTGCGCTCACATTAGTGGAATTTTTATGCGCGTATGAAAATCATAACTGGCATGCAGATCAAGATAAATTGTAAGCTTCCCCAAACTTGAAACTCACAAACAATTTAATCCATTTTAGAATAAGGCTGTAACGTAACAAAATGTGGAAAAAGTCAAGGGGTCTGAATACTTTCCGAATGCACTGTAGCAGCACACAAGTAGACTACAAATGCATGCTGGGCCAGGCATGCCCTAAACTTGTGAAGTGAGCGGTACTGGAGCGAAATTGGAGCGGGTGAGAAGGCGGGGAAACTCACCCTGCGCTCCCGTCAAATTTGGCAAGCTCCTCGCTCTGCTCTCATACTCTGGCTACATGACACAGGAGTGGTGTCATTTCTCTTAAAGAGACAATAGGCTACTTCTATGAAAGTGTTGTTGATCTCTAGGCCTAACGTGGTCTCAAATGAAAGGGCAACCGATTGTAAGCTGTTGCTCCATAGACAACTGAAATCAACCAAAAGGAGCTCAATAAATCAATCCATGAAGACAGTCTTATTAAATATGAATTCACCTGTATTGTGAGTAGGCCTATGCAATCTTGCTACACCCAGTTTATCAAGAAATTGACTCAAATAGATGATTGCCATTATGTTATGTAGTTATTGTTAAAAACAAAGTCAAATTGATTGTATGGTTGTATAACTGATTTGTTGAATGCATATATGGCTGTCTCTGGATCATTCAAATGTTGAAATGTAATTATATGTAAACCCATATAGGTCGTTCTCTACAGAAAATGATAACAAGCGTTTCTTCCAGATAGTCCCTCCCTGTTTCTGTCCATTTTCTTCAGTTTCCTGCTTACATAACACGACCGTGGTACATCGACATTGTTGGTGTAAATAAAAATGTGTGGTCTTGTTGTGTTGAAGGTATGAACCCTGGTGGAATGAACCCACCCCCTCCTGGTATAAGTACTGGTGGAATGAACCCACCCCCTCCTGGTATGTCCATGATGCACACCCAGAGACAGAGAGTTCCCCCGCCGCCAGGAGAGGACGCCAGAGAGGTACGACTCAGCATAACATCAAACTAATAGACATTTTCCTTGTAAATACTGTTTGTATTAGTCCACTTTGTGCTCATAAACATAAGGGACAAATACTTAAGACCTATGTAAATTGAACGGGATACTTGTAACTTAAGTTTTCATTAGTGAGTTATCTCAAGTAAGAATTCTGCTGCTATAGAAGTCTGCTGGGTGTAAGATTGAGAAGAAATTGATTTGCGACATGTTTAGTATCAGGAGCCACCTGATCTAAGAAAATGGACTATCTAATGTGTGTGTGCGTGTTTGTGTATCAGGTGTGGCAGGGAGAGGAGGTGGGCATTGGCCCTAAGATCCCTCAGGCCCTGGAGAAGATCCTCCAACTGAAGGAGATCAGACAGGAGCAGCTCAGCACTGCTCCCACAGGTCAGAACAGGGAACTACACACGAGTTGGATTATGCATAAATCCATGAATCATTAACAAATTATAAAATCATGACTTAAACAAATAAAGTAAGCTAACTCTATTTATAAAATATATTTATTGAATGTTTCTTAATATCTTTCATATATTAATATCTTCATATCTTTCAGTAAGTTAACAACCAAACCTCTAACTCTCATGGTATCTTTCTATTCTAAGTACTGCAGTCCTAGTTCTTGTTATCTGGGTTCCGAGCCTTGCAGGAGCTCGAACTGGTCAGTGAATGTTCTGTGTTCTCTATCCTTTACCAAAAGAAGAGGAGGAGGAGATCCAGGAGATGGAGATGAACAACTCCTCCGCCCCCGTCCTGTCTGAGACTGAAGAGGATGACGGATCTCTCTCCAAGAAAGATGTGAGTATTGTTCTCATTCACAACTTCTCTGCTGCTGTCTGTGGGTGAATCTCAATTGTATTTGCTTGATTCCTCGCGTCCTCTCTCCTCCTTCACAAAAGGCAGCAGAGGGGAGGAACGTTGGATCTTCTCCAATGCGAATTGAGAAGGATGCGAGGAGAGAGGCCATAAGGAATCAAGAAAACACAATTTTAGTTACTCCTGAAGCTCAGAGGGTCAGGAGTCAAGTTAGTATGACTCTCATATAGATAATGAAGATTCTGTTTTAATTGACATAAGCTCTTAGCAGTGTGCGGAGTAAGTAAGTAGCCTTGCATGAACCTTAGCTTGTGCGAGCCGGAACGGCTCATAGGAGCAGGGGTAGAGACTCTTTGGGATGACTCAGCTGGGAATTTAACTCACAAGCTTCCAATCTCAGGGCGGACACTCGAACCACAAGGTCACTGAGTTGGTGTGAGGAGTAAGAAATGGTGCTATTTCCTATATTTTCTCTCTCCCCTTCTCAGAAAAACCGTAAGCGCAGGAACCGCAAGAAGAAGAACAAGAAGAGGCGTGAGCAGGAGAAGAGGGAACAGGTGGTGGAGAAGAAGGAGGAGGATGGAGAGAAGGAGAAAGAGCATGAGGTGGAGATCGAGTACGTCACTGAGGAACCGGAGATCTATGATCCTAACTTCATCTTCTTCAAGAGGATCTTTGAGGCCTTCAAGGTGAGAGCCGCCTCCGTTTTGATCATTTGTTAATTCGTTATCAGTCAATCAGTTCGTTATCAGTCAAAACATCCTACAGATTTGTCCACAATCTTCTTGACCTTATTATTTACCATTGTGATGACCACATGAAATACAATATATCGTAGTTAAATTTGGGCATGGGTTTTCTGTTTGAGTGTTAGCACATTTCTTCAGTTAACTGGCTTTGTCTCCAGCCCTCTCACTGTTTTTTTGTCATCCCTCAGCTGACTGACGATGTGAAGAAAGAGAAAGAGAAGGAGCCGGAGAAAGAGAAGGAGACTCCTTCCATGATGAAGAAGAAGGGATTTGAGGAGGAGAAGAAGGACAGCGATGACAGTGATGATGTTAGTATTCATATATCCTATGTGTTCCTCATGCCTTAGCTTGGATGAAGAAGACATTCTCCAGCAGGACGGTCAATACTCTGTCTCGATTATCTAGCCTACTGCCCTGAGTAGTGTGCACTTGTTCTCTCCCGTTCAGGGAGAATGTTAGAGGATTGGGACATGGGGATAGTGTCTTCCTGTCCATGGTTGGCCATGTTGTCAATTTCTCCCTCTGTGGAACTGCTGACCATGGAAGTCCTCCTCTTCACTCCTCTTTCTCTCTCTCTCTCCATCTCTTTCTCTCTCCCTCCATCTCTTTCTCTCTCTCTGTGTACAGGAGATCAGACCAGATGTTTCCAAGCTGTCTAAGAAGAAGCTGAGAAGGATGAACAGACTGACTGTGGCTGAACTCAAACAGGTAAACCACTTTCTTATAACATAATGGATATAGGATCTAGCAGGTGTCATTAATGCTGTGTATCATTAATGCTATAAGTGCTGACGATATATATATATATACATACACACACACACACAGTGAAGGGAAACAAGTATTTGATCCCCTGCTGATTTTGTACGTTTGCCCACTGACAAAGAAATGGTAGGTTTATTTGAACAGTGAGAGACAGAATAACAACAACAAAATCCAGAAGAACGCATGTCAAAAATGTTATACATTTATTTGCATTTTAATGAGGGAAATAAGTATTTGACCCCCTCTCAATCAGAAAGATTTCTGGCTCCCAGGTGTCTTTTATACAGGTAACGAGCTGAGATTAGGAGCACACTCTTAAAGGGAGTGCTCCTAATCTCAGGTTGTTACCTGTATAAAAGACAACTGTCCACAGAAGCAATCAATCAATCAGATTCCAAGGATGTCAGGGACAAGATTGTAGACCTACACAAGGCTGGAATGGGCTACAAGACCATCACCAAGCAGCTTGGTGAGAAGGTGACAACAGTGGTGCGATTATTCGCAAATGGAAGAAACACTAAAGAACTGTCAATCTCCCTCGGCCTGGGGCTCCATGCAGGATCTCACCTCGTGGGGTTGCAATGATCATGAGAACGGTGAGGAATCAGCCCAGAACTACAGGGGAGGATCTTGTCAATGATCTCAAGACAGCTGGGACCATAGTCACCAAGAAAACAATTGGTAACACACTACGGCGTGAAGGACTGAAATCTGCCCGCAAGGTCCCCCTGCTCAAGAAAGCACATATACAGGCCTGTCTGAAGTTTGCCAATGAACATCTGAATGATTCAGAGGAGAACTGGGTGAAAGTGTTGTGGTCAGATGAGACCAAAATGGAGCTCTTTGGCATCAACTCAACTCGCCGTGTTTGGAGGAGGAGGAATGCTGCCTATAACCCCAAGAACACCATCCCCACCGTCAAACATGGAGGTGGAAACATTATGCTTTGGGGGTGTTTTTCTGCTAAGGGGACAGGACAACTTCACCGCATCAAAGGGACGATGGACGGCGCCATGTACCGTCAAATCTTGGGTGAGAACCTCCTTCCCTCAGCCAGGGCATTGAAAATGTGTTGTGGATGGGTATTCCGGCATGACAATGACCCAAAACACACAGCCAAGGCAACAAAGGAGTGGCTCAAGAAGAAGCACATTAAGGTCCTGGAGTGGCCTAGCCAGTCTCCAGACCTTAATCCCATAGAAAATCTGTGGAGGGAGCTGAAGGTTCGAGTTGCCAAACGTCAGCCTCGAAACCTTAATGACTTGGAGAAGATCAGCAAAGAGGAGTGGAACAAAATCCCTCCTGAGATGTGTGCAAACCTGGTGGCCAACTACAAGAAACGTCTGACCTCAGATCGCCAACAAGGGTTTTGTCACCAAGTACTAAGTCATGTTTTGCAGAGGGGTCAAATACTTATTTTCCTCATTAAAATGCAAATCAATTTATAACATTTTTGACATGTTTTTCTGGATTTTTTTGTTGTTATTCTGTCTCTCACTGTTCAAATAAACCTACCCTTAAAATTATTGACTGATCATGTCTTTGTCAGTGGGCAAACGTACAAAATCAGCAGGGGATCAAATAGTTTTTTCCCCTCACTATATATATATATATATATATATATATAATGCACAGTACCAGTCAAAAGTTTGGACACACCGACTCATTCAAGGGTTGTTCTTTATTTTTAATATTTTCTACATTGTAGAATAATCGTGAAGACATCAAAACTATGAAATAACACATACGGAATCATGTAGTAACCAAAAAAGTGTTGAACAAATTTCTTCAAAGTAGCCACCCTTTTCCTTGATGACAGCTTTGCACACTCTTGGCATTCTCTCAACCAGCTTCATGAGGTAGTCACTTGGAAGGCTTTTCCAACAGTCTTGAAGGAGTTCCCACATATGGTGAGCACTTGTTGGCTGCTTATCCTTCACTCTGCCGTCCGACTCATCCCAAACCATCTCAATTGGGTTGAGGTCGGGTGCTTGTGGAGGTCAGGTCATCTGATGCAGCACTCCATCACTCTCCTTCTTGGTCAAATAGCCCTTACACAGCCTGGAGGTGTGTTTTGGGTCATTGTCCTGTTGGAAAACAAATGATAGTCCCACTAAGCGCCAACCAGATGGGATGGCATATCGCTGCAGAATTCTGTGGTAGCCATGCTGGTTAAGTGTGCCTTGAATTATAAATAAATCACAGACAGGGTCACCAGCAAAGCACCATCACACTTCCTACTCCATGCTTCACGATGGGAACCACATATGCGGAGATCATCCGTTCACCTACTCTGCGTCTCACAAAGACACGGCGGTTGGAACCAAGAATCTCAAATTTGGTCTCATCAGACCAAACGACAGATTTCCACCAGTCTAATGTCCATTGCTCGTGTTTCTTGGCCCAAGGAAGTCTCTTCTTCTTATTGGTGTCCTTTAGTAGTGGTTTCTTTGCAGTAATTCGACCATGAAGGCCTGATTAACGCAGTCTCCTCTGAACAGTTTATGTTGAGATGTGTCTGTTACTTGAACTCTGAAGCATTTATTTGGGCTGCAATTTCTGAGGCTGGTAACTCTAATTAACTTATCCTCTGCAGCAGAGGTAACTCTGGGTCTTCCTTTCCTTTGGCGGTCCTCATGAGAGCCAGTTGCATCAAAGCGCTTGATGTTTTTTGCGACTGCGCTTGAAGAAAGTTCTTGAAGTTCTTGAAATGTTCCGTATTGACTGACCTTCATGTCTTAAAGTAATGATGGACTGTCGTTTCTTCTTTGCTTATTTGAGCTGTTCTTGCCATAATATGGACTTGGTCTTTTTCCAAGTAGGGCTATCTTCTGTATACCACCCCTACGTTGTCACAACACAACTGATTGGCTCAAACGCATTAAGAAGGAAAGAAATACCACAAATTAACTTTTAAGAAGGCACACCTGTTAATTGAAATGCATTCCAGGTGACTACCTCATGATGTTGGTTGAGAGAATGCCAAGAGTGTGCAAAGCTGTCATCAAGGAAAAGGGTGGCTACTTTGAAGAATCTCAAATATAAAATATATTTTGATTTAACACTTATTTTTTTTTGGTTACTACATGATTCCATATGTGTTATTTCATAGTTTTGATGTCTTCACTATTATTCTACAATGTAGAAAATAGGAAAAATAAAGAACCCCTGGAATGAGTAGGTGTGTCCAAACCTTTGACTGGTAATGTAGATAGTGTGTGTATATATATATATATATATATATATATATATATATATATATATATATATATATATATATATATATATATATATATATATATATACATACATACATACACACTATATATATATATATACATACACACTATATATATATATATATACATACACACTATATATATATATATACATACACACTATATATATATATATACATACACACTATATATATATATATATACATACACACTATATATATATATATACATACACACTATATATATATATATACCGTGCCTTTGGAAAGTACTCAGACCCCTTGACTTTTTCCAAAATGTATGTTACAGCCATATTCGAAAGTTGATTAAAAAAAATATTTACACACAGTACCCCATCATGATTAAGGGAAAACAGGTGTTTAGACATTTTTGCAAATGTATTCAAACAAAAAAATTGAAATACCTTATTTACAGTATTCAGACCATTTGCTATGAGACTCGAAATTGAGCTCAGGTGCATCCTGTTTCCGTTGATCATCCTTGAGATGTTTTACAACTTGATTGGAGTCCACCTGTGGTAAATTCAATTGATTGGACATTATTTGGAAAGGCACACACCTGTCTATATAAGGTCCCACAGTTGAGAGTGCAAGTGAGAGCAAAAACCAAGCCATGAGGTCGAAGGAATTGTCCGTAGAGGTCCGAGACAGGATTGTGTCGAGGCACAGATCTGAGGAAGGGTACCAAAAAATGTCTGCAGCATTGAAGGTCCCCAAGAACACAGTGGCCTCCATCATTCTTAAATGGAAGAAGTTTGGAACCACCAAGACTTCCTAGAGCTGGCCAAACTGAGCAATCGGGGGAGAAGGGCCTTGATCAGGGAGGTGACCAAGAACCCAATGGTCACTCTGACAGAGCTCTAGAGTTCCTCTGTGGAGATGGGAGAACCTTCCAGAAGGACAACAATCTCTGCAGCACTCCACCAATCAGGCCTTTATGGTAGAGTGGCCAAATTGAAGCCACGCCTCAGTAAAAGGCACATGACAGCCCGCTTGGAGTTTGCCAAAAGGCACCTAAAGACACTCAGACCATGAGAAACAAGATTATCTGGTCTGATGAAACCAAGATTGAACTCTTTGGCCTGAATGCCAAGGGTCACGTCTGGAGGAAACCTGGCACAATCCCTACGGTGAAGCATGGTGGTGGCAGCATCATGCTGTGGGGATGCTTTTCAGCAGCAGGGACTGGGAGACTAGTCAGGATCGAGGCAAAGATGAACGGAGCGTACAGAGTACAGAGAGATCCTAGATGAAAACTTGCTCCAGAGCTCTGCTCTTTTCACCTTCCACCAGCCAAGACAATGCAGGAGTGGCTTCGGGACAAGTCTCTGAATGTCCTTGTGTGGCCCAGCCAGAGCCCGGACTTGAACCTGATCTAACAGCTCTGGAGAGACCTGAAAGTAGGTGTGCAGCAACGCTCCCCATCCAACCAGACAGCTTGAGAGGATCTGCAGAGAAGAATGGAAGAAACTCTCAGAATACACGTGAGCCAAGCTTGTAGCGTCATACCCAAGAAGACTCGATGCTGTAATCGCTGCCAAGGGTGCTTCAACAAAGTACTGAGTAAAGGGTCTGAATACTTATGTAAATGTGATATTTCTGTATTTTATTTATTTATAAATTAGCAAAAATGTTGAAAAACCTGTTTTTGCTTTATTATGGGCTGTTGTGTGTAGACTGAGGGGGGGAAACAATTTAATATATTTTAGAAAAAGGCTGTAACGTAACAAAATGTGGAAAAAGTCAAGGGGTCTGAATACTTTGCGAATGCACTGTGTGTGTACACACACTACCGTTCAAAAGTCACTTAGAAATGTCCTTGTTTTCCATGAAAACATACATGAAATGAGTTTGAATAGGAAATATAGCAAACACATAGGAAATGTAGTCATTGACAAGGTTAGAAATAATGATTTTTAATAGAAATAATAATTGTGTCCTTCAAACTTTGCTTTCATCAAATAATCCTCCATTTGCAGCAATCACAGCCTTGCAGACCTTTGGCATTCTAGTTGTCAATTTGTTGAGGTAATCTGAAGAGATTTCACCCCATGCTTCCTGAAGAACCTCGCACAAGTTGGATTGGCTTGATGGGCACTTCTTACGTACCATACGGTCAAGCCGCTCCCACAACAGCTCAATAGGGTTGAGATCCGGTGACTGCTGGCCACTCCATTATAGACAGAATACCAGCTTGACTGCTTCTTCCCTAAATAGTTATTGCATAGTTTGGAGCTGTGCTTTGGGTCATTGTCCTTTTGTAGGAGGAAATTGGCTCCAATCAAGCGCAGTCCACAGGGTATGGCATGGCGTTGCAAAATGGAGTGATAGCCTTCCTTCTTCAAGATCTCTTTTACCCTGTACAAATCTCCCACTTTACCACCACCAAAGCACCCCCAGACCATCACATTGCCTCCACCATGCTTGACAGATGGCATCAAGCACTCCTCCAGAATATTTTCATTTGGTCTGCGTCTCACAAATGTTCTTCTTTGATCCGAACACCTCAAACTTCGATTCGTCGGTCCATAACACATTTTTCCAATCTTCCTCTGTCTTCCTCTCTCTGTGTTCTTTTGACGTTGAGACTGGTGTTTTGCGGGTACTATTTAATGAAGCTGCCAGTTGAAGACCTGTGAGGCGTCTGTTTCTCAAACTAGACACTCTAATGTATTTGTCCTCTTGTTCAGTTGTGCACCGGGGCCTTCCACTCCTCTTTCTATTCTGGTTAGAGCCAGTTTGCACTGTTCTGTGAAGGGAGTAGTACACAGCGTTGTACGAGATCTTCAGTTTCTTGGCAATTTTTTGCATGGAATAGCCTTTTTATTTCTCAGAACAAGAATAGACTGACGAGTTTCTGGCCATTTTGATTCTGTAATCGAACCCACAATTGCTGATGCTCCAGATACTCAACTAGTCTCAAGGCCAGTTTTATTGCTTCTTTAATCAGCACAACAGTTTTCAGCTGTGCTAACATAATTGCAACAGGGTTTTCTAATGATCAATTAGCCTTTTAAAATGATAAACTTGGATTAGCAAACACAACATGCCATTGGAACACAGGACTGATGGTTGCTGATAATGGGCCTCTGTACGCCTATGTAGATATTCCATTAAAAGTCAGCCGTTTCCAGCTACAATAGCCATTTAAAACATTAACAATGTCTACACTGTATTTCTGATCAATTCGATGTTATTTTAATGGACAAAAAAATTGCTTTTCTTTCGAAAACAAGGAAATGTCTAAGTGACCCCAAACTTTTGAACTGTGTATGTATGTATGTGTGTGTGTATATATATATATATATATATTTTTATCTCTCTCGCAGGCATTTTTCATACTCACAAAAAGCTTATCTCTCAAATTTTGTGCAGACATTTATTGACATCCCTGTTAGTAAGCATTTCTCCTTCGCCAAGATAATCCATCCACCTGACAGGTGTGGCATATCAAGAAGCTGACTAAACAGCATGATCATTACACAGGTGCACCTTGTGCTGGTGACAATAAAAGGCCACTCTAAAATGTGCAATTTTGTCACACAACACAATGCCACTGATGTCTCGAGTTTTGAGGGAGCGTGCAATTGGCATGCTGACTGCAGGAATGTCCACCAAAGCTGTTGTCAGATAATTGAATGTTAATTTCTCTACCATAAGCCGCCTCCAACGTCGTTTTACAGAATTTGGCAGTACGTCCAACTGGCCTCACAACTGCGGACCATGTGTAACCACGCCAGCCCAGGACCTCCACATCCGGCTTCTTCACCTGTGGGATCGTCTGACATGCTGACCACACCGCTTGCGTTACAAAATAAATGTACACATACATGTTATTCAATAATTTCATCCAAACTGCTTGCGCGCGTCAACGAGCGTCTACGTAGCCAGGCTCTAAAATAGAACTCTCTATTTTAGATGCTTGACGCGCTGCAAGTCCCGCCTCTCCCATCTCATTTTTGTTATTTAGGAGCATATACCCACGTGGGTGATTGAAAGCTGAACTGAGGTCCACACTCCAGTCGGTGGTTATAATGCACCTTAAAGTTGGTTGCCAACCATCATACAAAGTCCGAAGAAGAAGACTGAAGGAGGAGAGATTACTAGAAATTTACTAGGTTTACCCTTTTCTCTGTGGATTAATTGTCAGAGTAGAGGACCTTGTGCATTTCAGGTAAATTAACAACCCAATGTTTAAATCCCAGGACAAATTAGCTAGCAACAGCAAGCTAGCTAAATTGCCATAAATATTTAATGCTTTTCGACCTGTCCCCAAATTAATATAGTTGGTTCAGAGCGTAGTGCCAGTAACCGAAAGGTCGCTGGTTCTAATCCCCGAGCCAACTAGTTGAAAAATCTGTCTGTGCCCTTAAGCAAGGCACTTAACCCTAATTGCTCCTGTAAGTCGCTCTGGATAAGAGTGTCTGCTAAATGACTAGAAATGTAAAATGCATAAGCTACGGACAACGAACACAATTGCATTTTATCGATAGCAATTTGAATGCACAGAGATACCGTTACGAGATCCTGAGGCCCATTGTCGTGCCATTCATCCTTCACCATCACCTCATGTTTCAGCATGATAATACACTGCCCCATGTCGCAAGGATCAGTACCCAGTTCCTGGAAGTTGAAAATGTCCCAGTTATTCCATGGCCTGCATACTCACCAGACATGTCACCTATTGAGCATGTTTGGGATGCTCTGGATCTACGTGTACGACAGCGTGTTCTAGTTCCTGCCAATATCCAGTAACTTCGCCATTGAAGAGGAGTGGGACAACATTCCACAGGCCACAATCAACAGCCTGATCAACTATATGTGAAGAAGATGTCGCGCTGCATTAGGCAAATGGTGGTCACACCAGATACTGACTGGTTTTCTGATCCACACCCCAACCTTTCTTTTTAAGATATCTGTGACTAACAGATGCATATCTGTATTCCCAGTCGTGACATCCATAGATTAGAGCCTAATTTATTTATTTCAATTGACTGATTTCCTTATATGAATTGTAACTCAGTAAAATCTTTGCCATTTTTGCGTTTTATATTTTTGTTCAGTGTGTATATATGCATGCTCGGTGAACAATGTGCCTCCTTTGCAACCTCCCACCTATCACTTCTCTCCCTTCTCTCCTTTCATCCCCCTCCCTCGCTCCTCCTCTCCAGTTGGTGGCGCGTCCTGATGTGGTGGAGATGCATGACGTGACTGCCCAGGAGCCCAAGCTGCTGGTGCACCTGAAGGCAACCAGGAACACGGTGCCCGTCCCCCGACACTGGTGCTTCAAGAGGAAGTACCTCCAGGGCAAGAGGGGTATAGAGAAGCCCCCCTTTGAGCTGCCAGAGTTCATCAAGAGGACGGGCATTCAGGAGATGAGAGAGGCTCTGCAGGAGAAGGTGGGTGCCTGGTTGGGGTTGAGTGGGTACAGGGGCCACAAGCTGGTGGCAATATAAGTGGATCCATTTTGGGATGTACTCATGTTTGAATGCTTTCCTCCTTTGAGGTGAACACGGATCCATCATGACTAGATAAGTGTAAGAATGTGCTTGGGGCATTGCTTTTATCTGTGATTACCTAGTACGGAAGGACCATGTCTTTCGTGGATCATCAACTAGAATTTTCTTGAGCGGATGGTCAGTGGGCTGGAACATAATTGTTGACCACAAGAAGCACAGATATCAAATTTGACTAAAACATAATTTAAAACCTTGCTTGCGTTTGTATATGACACATACAGGAGGGTCATGCACAACAAAAATCAGAGTAGGGTACAAAGTAAGTGTGGATGGCTGGGGGGCGGTGAAGAGTAGGGGTAGGACCCCTCTCCTGAAGTTGGAGAATCTTGCATTTGGCAAACACCTGAAAGGTTTTTTTTTTTTGGGGGGGGGAGACGACACGACTCTCTCTTTTTAGAGAGACTAAATCTGAATCTCTGCTAAAGTCTGGGTAAAAGATTGAAAGGATAGTGAGTCTTATTCAGTACATTTAGTAATCACTTGCTTTTCTAAAGTCTACCAACCTTGCCAGCAGGAATAACAGCTAAGATAGTTAGACAAGCTAGCTACACTAACTTGACTTAAGAAGCCTGAAATGGCTTCTTGGTAGCTAGTTATGAGTTTGGGAGATTGGGAACCTGTCTGGGCTAGCTAAAGCCAACTTCATAAAATTGCTAGGTGGCTAGTAGTATTACAGAACAGGACGCATCTGACGGGGCACGTGCCCCTGTGTGCTCTCTATTGTACATGGGAATATCTTGGAACAGATTTCCTAAATGAAAATCACTTGGAGCTGATTTGCTAGTGTTTTTACAGTCCCCCTAAAAAGTTTAATAAATAACAGAACATTTTATTTAAAAAAAGTAAAACTTGAGAGGCCAAATAAAATCACTTGCGGGCTAAATTTGTCCCGCGGGCCTCCAGTTGGGTAATCCTGATGTATTTCTATTGTAGTAGGACAGGATCTAATATGCATCTGTTTTATCCTGTAGAAACGCTTTAACGCTATGTTCCCTGTTCACAGGAGGATGCCAAGACCATGAAGACCAAAATGAGGGAGAAGGTTCGTCCCAAGATGGGCAAGATCGACATCGACTACCAGAAGCTCCACGACGCCTTCTTCAAGTGGCAGATGAAGCCTAAACTCTCCATCCATGGAGACCTCTACTACGAGGTAGATACACTATATGACCAAAAGTATGTGGAAACCTGCTCGTCGAGCACCTCATTCCAAAATCATGGGCATTAATATGGAGTTGGTCCCCCTTTGCTGCTATAACAGCCTCCACTCTTGGAACATTGCTGCGGGGACTTGCTTCCATTCAGCCACAAGAGCATTAGTGAGGTTGGGCACTGATGATGGGCGACTAGGCCTGGCTCGCAGTCGGCATTCCAATTCATCCCAAAGGTATTCGATGGGGTTGAGGTCAGGGCTCTGTGCACGCCAGTCAAGTTCTTCCGCACCGATCTCGACGAACCATTTCTGTATGGTCCTTGCTTTGTGCATTGTCATGCTGAAACAGGAAAGGGCCTACCCCAAACTTTTGCCTCAAAGTTGGAAGCACAGAATTGTCTAGAATGTCATTGCATGCTGTAGCGTTAAGATTTCGCTTCACTGGAACTAAAGAGCATAGCCCGAACCATGAAAAACAGCCCCAGACCATTATTCCTCCTCCACCCAACTTTACAGTTGGTGCTTTGCATTGGGGCAGGTAGCGTTCCCAAGTTTAAATAAGTTGTATTTTGTTTTACATGTATAGATGGGTTGGTTGTTTAGCAACGAAGGGTTGGCTTAGATTGTTGAAAACATGTAATCTATATTTCTTCAATGCTTATTGAAAACATAAATACATTTGCACAAAGAGCATTTGTTTTCTCTCAAATATATCGTTACAGTTGTTGGTTAGCTAGCTAGTACATTTTTGCCATATTAGCATTGCGATGAAATCAGTCAAAACACCTCAAAACAAGACATGGTATCAAGAACAAGATGAAACTAGCTAAAACGAGTCACTTACGATGCCCCACATGGCAGTTTCTTATCATTGTTGGTAGCTATCTGGCCTTCCAGAATCATAACAACTCATGGACTTCTGCACCATTGAAGCATGCGCATCGTTTTTTGTGAAGTTGTCAGCTAACCCAACTATTTCGGATATCTGAAAAAATGTAATAAATTATTTCAATAAAGAATTATTTCAAATTCCCTTCCCATGAATGTTATAAACATACCGTTCTATTTGTCATTATCACATACATTTAGGGAATTTATCACGATATGGATATTTGTCCATATCACCCAGCTCTACTACATGGCTTTCCTTCAATAGTTCCTTGTTCTTGGTTCTTGAATGAAATCCTGGTTGTCAGTGGACTGCTCCGGTAGGTTTCTGATTCTCACACTGACCCCTCTCTCTCTCTCTCTCTCTCTCTCTCTCTCTCTCTCTCTCTCAGGGTAAAGAGTTTGAGACCAGGCTGAAGGAGAAGAAACCAGGTGATCTGTCAGATGAACTGCGTATTGCTCTGGGCATGCCGGTTGGACCGGTGAGTTCATCCTCATCACCACTACTTCATGTTATTGTTATCTCACCACTAACTTTATTGTTGCTGGACAGCTTTATAATTATGCTTTATTTTATTGAACTAAAATATTTATATTGATGATCATCGTCTTTGTTGTGAGCAGAATGACACTGATATACAATGGTCTTGTCCCATCACTAAAATTGCTTCACCCCCCCCCCCCCCCCCCTCTCTGTGTAGAACTCCCACAAGGTGCCCCCTCCCTGGCTGATCGCCATGCAGAGATACGGCCCCCCTCCCTCCTATCCCAACCTCAAGATCCCTGGACTCAACTCACCCATCCCAGAGGTAAGCCTGACTTTAACACAGACATACTCTTGAACGATTTACCGACTTGTTATAATGTAATAAAAGTGTGAATGCTGTATTTAAATATTACAGTATTGTGAAGTTCATTACAGATGTTTGACTCCTCCTCATCTTTCTCTCTCTCTCTCTCTCTCTCTCTCTCTCTCGTTTTCCCCCTCCTCTCAGAGCTGTTCGTTTGGTTACCATGCTGGTGGTTGGGGGAAGCCTCCTGTAGATGAGACAGGCAAGCCTCTGTACGGTGACGTGTTCGGGACCAACGCAGGAGACTTCCAGGTAAGATCCTCCTCATACACTGATGGATACCTTACGATCCTGCCTCATACCCCTAATATCTACCACACACCACACCTCCCTACACTCACTACCACATATGCCTATATGTAACATACAACTATTCTGCTTTTAATCTATTGGTGTATTGACTATTGGCCTAATGTGTGTGTCTCTGTGTAGGCTAAGGCTGAGGAGGAGGAGGTGGATCGTACGCCGTGGGGAGAGCTGGAGCCTTCAGACGAGGAGTCTTCAGAGGAAGAAGAGGAAGAGGAAAGCGACGAGGAGAAACCAGACGAAACCGGCTTCTTCACGCCGGCAGACAGGTAGATTTTCACGTTGTTTACTGGCCGTTTTAAACACAACAAGTTGACATTGACTTGAAATGAACCAGTCTCTTTATTCTGTTGGATCAATTGGCCTTTGATCGCGCGTAATGAAATTCCCATTTGTATTTGGTTGACTTGAATACCTTGATCAGTGTTCCAACTCCAAACCTGTTTGTGAATGTGTCTCCCCCAGTGGTCTGATCACCCCAGGAGGCTTCTCGTCGGTGCCTGCTGGTATGGAGACTCCAGAGCTCATTGAGCTGAGGAAGAAGAAGATCGAGGAGGCCATGGACGGGTGAGTGTGTGGCCATACTTGGGCTGTGTGTGTATTCTCTATTATATGTGTGTGTTTTGTGCTACCTAGGCTGTGAATGTGTGGGTTTGTATCTTCTAGTGATTGATTGATTTATTTCTACTGAATTATGTGAAGGAATGAGACTCCTCAGCTGTTCACGGTGCTCCCAGAGAGGAGGACGGGCTCTGTAGGAGCAGCCATGATGGCGTCCACACACATCTACGACGTATCAGGGGTAAGAACAACAACGTCTGCTTTCATGCAAGTTTTGATACATACTGTACACTAAAGCATTGCATAGTCTACACATCTACATCCATCCTCACGATCATACTCACACACACACTATGACTGCGCCCCAATCGGCACCCTATCTCCTATATAGTGCACTACTTTCGGCCAGGTTTCCAACCAATTTGGACGCAGTCGAATTGGGTCGTACCACACACACACACACACTAGGGAATAGGGTGCCACTGCCATTTCAGATTGTCTTTTGTTTGACCCCCCCCCCCCTCTCTCTTTATCCTTCTCCAGGCGATGGCGGGTCGTAAGGCGGGCGGAGGCCAGGAGTCCCAGGGGGTGGAGGTAGCCCTGGCCCCAGAGGAGTTGGAGCTGGACCCAATGGCCATGACCCAGAAGTACGAAGAGCACGTCAGGAACCAGGAGGCCCAGGTGGAGAAGGAGGACTTCAGCGACATGGTGGCTGAGCACGCCGCCAAACAGAAGGTGAGAGGGAGCGACTGCAGGCTAGTGTACTGGAAATCTTATTCTAGGTTTTGAAGTGTATTAGACCACTAGAGCCTTGCTGAGGTTGAGCGTGTTTGTATTGTACTGGAAGTGTTCTTTAACCAGTTTTCAGTTCAAAAGGAAGCAAAAACTAACACTAGATGGGAAGACTAGATGGCTGTTTTTAATATCTCTACTGTTATGAGTGATTTCAAAACCTAAATCCCTATTAAAACTTTAACTCTAGGAATCCTTCAATGTTTTTTAAATCCACTTTCATAATTACTGACTAGGTGAAAAATCTGCCGATGTGCCCTTGAGCAAGGCACTTCACCCTAATTTCTCCTGTGTAAGTCGCTCTGGATAAGAGCGTCTGCTAAATGACTAAAATGTAAATGTAAAAATGTAACTAATATTGCAAGGTCTTGCTTTTTTAAAATGTTATCTCTATGCTTATGAATAGGCCATCCTGTAATATCAGTATTTGAACATTGCGTGCACATGCACAGCTATCTCCCTCCTTCCTCTCTCCCTCTTATCAGCCCTGTAGAGATAAGCATGTGTGTGTGTCGGTCTCTGTGTGTATTTGTGTCAGAACCCCTCCTGCCTCATAACGGGCTGTTCTGTACTCATTAGCACAGAGACCTACAGTGGGGAAAAAAAGTATTTAGTCAGCCACCAATTGTGCAAGTTCTCCCACTTAAAAAGATGAGAGAGGCCTGTAATTTTCATCATAGGTACACGTCAACTATGACAGACAAATTGAGAAGAAGAAAAATCCAGAAATCACATTGTAGGATTTTTTATGAATTTATTTGCAAATTATGGTGGAAAATAAGTATTTGGTCACCTACAAACAAGCAAGATTTCTGGCTCTCACAGGCCTGTAACTTCTTCTTTAAGAGGCTCCTCTGTCCTCCACTCGTTACCTGTATTAATGGCACCTGTTTGAACTTGTTATCAGTGTAAAAGACACCTGTCCACAACCTCAAACAGTCACACTCCAAACTCCACTATGGCCAAGACCAAAGAGCTGTCAAAGGACACCAGAAACAAAATTGTAGACCTGCACCAGGCTGGGAAGACTGAATCTGCAATAGGTAAGCAGCTTGGTTTGAAGAAATCAACTGTGGGAGCAATTATTAGGAAATGGAAGACATACAAGACCACTGATAATCTCCCTTGATCTGGGGCTCCACGCAAGATCTCACCCTGTGGGGTCAAAATGATCACAAGAACGGTGAGCAAAAATCCCAGAACCACACGGGGGGACCTAGTGAATGACCTGCAGAGAGCTGGGACCAAAGTAACAAAGCCTACCATTAGTAACACACTTCGCCGCCAGAGACTCAAATCCTGCAGTGCCAGACATGTCCCCCTGCTTAAGCCAGTACATGTCCAGGCCCATCTGAAGTTTGCTAGAGTGCATTTGGATGACCCAGAAGAGGATTGGGAGAATGTCATATGGTCAGATGAAACCAAAATAGAACTTTTTGGTAAAAACTCAACTCGTCGTGTTTGGAGGACAAAGAATGCTGAGTTGCATCCAAAGAACACCATACCTACTGTGAAGCATGGGGGTGGAAACATCATGCTTTGGGGCTGTTTTTCTGCAAAGGGACCAGGACGACTGATCCGTGTAAAGGAAAGAATGAATGGGGCCATGTATCGTGAGATTTTGAGTGAAAACCTCCTTCCATCAGCAAGGGCATTGAAGATGAAACGTGGCTGGGTCTTTCCGCATGACAATGATCCCAAACACACCGCCCGGGCAACGAAGGAGTGGCTTCGTAAGAAGCATTTCAAGGTCCTGGAGTGGCCTAGCCAGTCTCCAGATCTCAACCCCATAGAAAATCTTTGGAGGGAGTTGAAAGTCCGTGTTGCCCAGCAACAGCCCCAAAACATCACTGCTCTAGAGGAGATCTGCATGGAGGAATGGGCCAAAATACCAGCAACAGTGTGTGAAAACCTTGTGAAGACTTACAGAAAACGTTTGACCTGTGTCATTGCCAACAAAAGGTATATAACTAAGTATTGAGAAACTTTTGTTATTGACCAAATATTTATTTTCCACCATAATTTGCAAATAAATTCATTAAAAATCCTACAATGTGATTTTCTGGAGAGAAAAAAATCTCATTTTGTCTGTCATAGTTGACGTGTACCTTTGATGAAAATTACAGGCCTCTCATCTTTTTAAGTGGGAGAACTTGCACAATTGGTGGCTGACTAAATACTTTTTTCCCCCACTGTATGTCAACATGTGCTGGGATAGGGGGGTAGAAGGGTGAAAGTAGTGTTTTCACTGTTGAATGGCAATATCGACAACCTATTTTCTCTCTCTCATTTCTCTTTCTCTCTCTCCCACAGCAAAAGAAGAGGAAGGCCCAGCCCCAAGACACACGAAGTGGTGCCAAGAAATACAAAGAGTTCAAGTTTTAGACCAACAAGATCACACAGGGAGGAAATGGTAAGGCAGAATGAGACGAACAGGGCTCAGATTTTAAACCACGAGGAACCAGACTGTTTCACTACCGCAAAACCATCCATTATTGCTGTTTTTATTTTCCTTTTAATGATGATGTTAATAAGTGTCTGGCAGGGTTGGGGTCAATTCCATTTTAATTCCAGTCAATTCATAAAGTAAACCAAATTCAATTTCCCAATGTTCCTTGAAGAGAATTGGAATTAGATTTGCTGTGTACTTCCTGAATTGAAATTAAATTGACCCCAAGATTGGTTCCGGTAGAACCACTGCCAGGTCTCCTCTGTATGCAGCATTTGTATGACCCATCTATTCTATCCTGTGTGACTGTAATTTGTTCATGTAATTGTGCTTTTCTGTTTTTTTGTAAATAAACGACTCAATGTCAATCCTATCTATCCTTTATGGTTAATATTTTCAGGGTTTATTGTTTTTCCTGGCCATGTGACCTGTCACCTGAACAGGAAAACTCCTGTCCCTAGTTAGTGATCGCCAATAACAAGTCAAAACTCTGGGCCCTACATTGCTATAGTCATTACTTTAGTGATCTACAGCTTTAACACTGTCGATACATGCCTATGGCTAAATGAAGTTATACCTAGCATGAAAAAGCATGAGCTGGTCTCATGCCTCGCCTATATACCCCCTGACCAAGTCATAAGGCTAATGCCATCGCGCTGACTGCCATAATAACCAGGTGTCATTCTAAACTAGTCCACCAAGGGCTGACAGAGGACCCAGTGTGACAGACACCTGACGTCTGGGAAACACTTACCCTCATACGAACCATCCTGATCTTGCGAGCTTACATTCTGTTTCGCCTAACAGAATGTAAGCTCACAAGATCAGGATGATGCTAGGAAACACTCACTGTGACCTAAATAACTGCAGTAACTGCATGCTGACTCGGTCACTAGTACACAGACACACAGTAACACAATGTCTGTGAGGCCCCTCTGCACCACACTGTCTGGCAGGCTTTCTGCAATACCATTCCAGGATTTGTCAGCCTAGCGTATAGCAGCCTACTACAACCTCTCAGCCACTTTGTATGCTAGAATTACTATTTATGTATTAGGCTTATTAGCCTGCTTAAAAAATAGGTGTCTGCTACATAGTCAGTCTATATCATAAATGGTTATCTCTCAAAAATATGGTTAAAAAACGATTGTGTTAAACCAGATGAGACCAAATAAGTATTTTACTGTGTGTGATGCATCTAACATCTTCATGAAAAGCAAAGTGGACTCGAGACATTGGCTATTGTTGTGGAGATAACATGACATCATTTAACAGCATATGAATGAGTTCCCGCCCACACTGAAGAAACGCTGCCATGAATCATCCATTGGAAGACACCATGTAGATGGATCACATAGTGTGAGAGGGATTCAGATACCGGTAAAGCCACTCACATTAATGAATGAATATCATCCTAACTGCAAGTACTAGACTTGGCCATTATACCATCATCAGTGATTCGCAATGGCCCCTTCAAAAGACAACAGTCCTTGTCTTCCATACTCAGTTATCGTTGATAAGATCTAGTCAGACACTGTTTCCTTAGCACTAATTGGCAGTCAAGCCAATAGCTGCATCGTCACTGATAACAAGGTCATAAATTACATTGGATCTTTTTTTTTTTTTACCATAGCTGGTCTGAATAAGATATCTTCTTCCCTTGATAACGTGTGGGGTTCAGGGTTGACATTTGGGAACCCAATGAGACGTGGCAGATCCAGAGCACTGTTTAGAACCCCCTGGGTAGATCCATGGCCATCATTTAATCTGTGTCATACTAATCTCTTAATGGAAGAAGGAAGCAATCAACACCTAACATGACTCGAGACGAATACAATGGCCTGCCTGCACGCATAATATGACCCTCCAGTCACTCTTCTAACTCTGAACTCCATGAAGAAGAGGTGTTACTGACAGACGGATCAAAATAATAAATAGTTGCCTCCCTCGTTAAGAATGGTGTCCTGTGCCAATTAAGTGCACTTAAATAGAAACCAGAACGTCCCAATATGTTTTAACGACTTTTAATGTTTTACAGTGTCAATGATTATATATTTCATTCTATAAAAATAATCGCAATGTTTTCCTACTGCTTTTTAAACATTGAATGGACACACCAGTTACAGGGAAGAGTTGAGGTGTAGAGGAAACATTAGACATGTAGTCGAGGCATTCTCTAGAGAATTTCAACCATCATTCATTTCAGTGAAGTGTAGAATGCATACAATCTGCTTGTATGACCCATTCATGTGACTAGAATGGCACAGGGCAAATGTGCAGTTGATGGCTGCAAACCTAACCAATTTGGAATGTAGAAAATTATATGCCTATAAAAATGCATCTCTCTTGGGCGGCAGGTAGCTTAGTGGGCAAGAGCGTTGTGCCAGTAACCGAAAGGTCGCTGGTTCTAATCCCCGAGCCGACTAGGTGAAAAAATCTGTCGATGTGCCCATAAGCAAGGCACTTAACCCTAATTGCTCCTGTAAATCGCTCTGGATAAGAGCGTCTGCTAAATGACTAAAATGTAAATGTATAATGTAAAATATTATGCACAGGGTCGCAGGCATAGCAGCGGGAAGTAGGGGTGCTGCAGAACCCCATGAAAAATCTGAATTAAAGTATATGTTGTTGTTTAAAAAAATTCACAAAAGTAGTGCACTGGGCCTTTACTAGTATTAGCGGAGAGAGGTCTGCAGTTCGGGACCAACATTTCTTTCAGCATCTCTGCTTTGGCAATAAAGGTAGCTGTATAATTAAGAACAGTGTCTTGCAGGAATCAATAGTTGGAATTGTGAGAGTTGTTGCCCTTTCCCTTTCTCTGAGATTAATTCTAATGGAATCCAGAAACCCTGTCCTCAAACATTTACCAAATAACATGGAAAACAACCCATTTTTGTGCAGTATTAATTTACCATACTTACAAACCACTTAATGTAAATGTACATTACTTTACTGTACTGTACATAGGCTGGTCATCTAGGTTTGTACCTGTAGACTTTCCATCACGTGACGAAAAACAATGCACAATACACTAATTGAGTACATTGAGACATCAAGTGGTATGTGATAATGTGGCTCATCTGGTAGAGCATGGTGCTTGCAATGCTAGGGTTGTGGGTTTGATTCCCACGGGGACCAGTATGAAAAAGTATGCACTCACTGCTGTAAGTTGCTCTGGAAAAGAGCATCTACTAAAATGGAAAATGAATTAATAGGCCATTCCAGTTTCCACATAGAAAAAAGTTGTATTTGCAATTTATTTCCCCCAGTCAGCAAAAAAAATCGCAGGACTCCGAAACTACTTATTGCGGCTATGGGCGCAGGGTGTTTGTTTCAATAAACTGTTGCTATGTGAATACCGGTAATGACTCATTTATGACAAGTATGCATAGATTATCACTTTGTTTGCTGAAATACATAATTTTAATAAAACTTTAATCAAATACAACCACTAACAAGGAAACAGTCGGTGGTTGTATTTTATACAGGCCATGTTACGTGTGTGTGATTATCAAATGACAACACCTGAGTGATTCATATTCTAGCCAGACGGTGTCCAGACTATAAAATGCGCGCCACCTCTCCTTTTGGCATAGGGCCTACATCAAACCGCAGTAGCCTACTCACGTGCCCATTCACATTGTTACCGCCCACGATAAGCCTAATTATCATGAACATTCAGTAACTCGGTTATAGGCTATGACTACCGAAAGTAGTAGGCCTGTAAATGAAAGGGAAAATACCCCGTAGTCAACATGTGCACAGTCAAACATTTCCCCAAGGTCGTGTGACGCAACGAAGGTGAGCTCATATGCTAAATCAAACGGCTGACTGTAACCAGTTCTGAATCCGAATAGGCTATCTTTACTCACGGTAAGAGAGAAATTGTGGAAGACGGTGAGTCACACCGAACACAGACAGTCTACTGTCAGAGTCAACTAGGCTACTAACCAGAGGTGGGCCGATTAATTCCCTGTAGGGCTACAGCAACAATAACATGGATGGAATTCCTAAACACCTGAGCCAGAGGCCCCCCATGTCCTGACTGAGGGACTTAAAAATCTCAAAATTAAATAATCAACTCTAATCATGTCACATTGGGGAAATTCCTGGAATTCATCACCACTCACACCAAAGGACTTTTCTTTCTAAAGTTATCCCAATGGTTGCAATTGAAGCATGAGCTTGGAATGAGGTGCTTTATGAGTAAAAAGCCATTCACATTGATTGACTGATTGATTGATTAAACAATTTAGTTTGTTTAACTCTAACAGCATAGCCTGCCATTATTTATATATATAGCTTTACCTGAAATAGTTTCTTCATTAACCAACTTTTAACCTTTAAGAAGCAGAATGTTAAGGGGGCACAGGTTGTTACACTGTTATTATGATTATCTCATCTCTATCTCTCTCTCTCTCTCTCTCTCTCTCTCTCTATTTCTGTCTCTCTCTCTCTCTCTCTCTCTTTCTCTCTCTCTCTCTCTCTCTCTCTGTCTCTCTCTCTCTCTCTCTCTCTCTCTCTGTCTCTCTGTCTCTCTCTCTCTCTATATATCTGTATCTCTCTCTCTCTCTCTCTCTCTCTCTCTCTCCTCTCTCTCTCTCTCTCTCTTGCTCATGTAAAATAATTGAAGCCTACATCTTCTTTAACCCTTCAACTTAATTCTCAATGGATATAGAAGTGAATATGAAGAAAATATTCACTTCAACTTGATTGGTCAACTAATCAATATTCAGACTTAAAGTCACCAATAAAATAATGCCTAAAATAGTCATTTAAAAAAGCACTTTGTCAGATATTCTCAAAATATAGTCTGAACATGTGTGAAAAACGGTGGAAGAACCTGGATCATTTGAAATGTAAGATATTTTTTGAGGGACATTGCACTATACACCACCTGAAAAAGCATTAATTTCAATGTAATTGAATATTAATGTTTGGACATACAAAATTACCATAATTTGTTAACATTTCACAGTCTTCAACATGCTTACCTACCTATAAAGGCAATTGAAGCAGACCCAAAATATATATTTTTTTATATTATTGAAATTAGTAAAAAGCTATGCAAATTGCCATTCTAATATGGCATTGCTGGTATGAGCTTCTTTTGACTTCTCAACCACCTGGTAGAGCTCTGTTATTTCCAA